CAGAGTTCTACTCTGAGGAGTTCTACCTTGACATTTGGGGATGAATTGTATTTAATTTGTGAAGAAGCCCACTACCCAACAATGATTAAAATCTTTTATATGAGTTTATTTGAAATGTAGATGTAAGTGATTGGTCAAAATTTTTTAAATTACGTGAGAGTTTTTAGTCTTCATCGATGCTTGAGTCCATAGTTTTCACATCCTTAAAAACTTCTCCTAACTTTTCCTCCCAGTTAATTTATTTTTATATTATCTTATGATATGATATCTGAATCGACTGCTTTATAGTTAATACATTATAGGAGTGTAGTATAGAATATAATTTACTGATGGATATATGTCCATTCACCTTGTAGTATTATAATTGAAAATATTCATCCATTTATGGGTTTATTTTCTAAATTGATTAATTTTTTAAAAGTAAACAAAGAGAAGTATTTTTCTAGAAATTTATGTGAATCAGTATTTTGTAGTAGAAAAATTTCCTTAGGACTAAGAAGACTGACTTGAAATCTTTGTTATTTAATAGTTGTTGTCTCCTGAATTTTTTAAATTTGAGTCTACATTTTATTATAAAATGGAGATAATAGTTTTTCTAATATTATGTGGGAGAATTTAATGTGAAATTTAGTAAATTGTTAAAATGATCTCAAGAGACAAGATGATAGTACTCTTTATAAAAAGTAGAAGTTAGATATAGAATGAGTTACTTTATGTGGATCCCATTTTTCCTTGAAATTTTATGAGTGATCCTAATTCTTTTGTATTATCTATAAAGTAATCAAAATATTGAAGTTACTCAGAACTTAAATTCCCAAGCATTATATATAGGCTAAATATAGCACATTTCTACAAGTATTACACAAGAAATGGTCCGTTGAGTTTCTGAGGCTGTAACTTATTATGGGAAGGGAAACCCCATTTTTTTTCTGTTAAAGTGCTAGTGAAGTTGAAATACTGGCCTTTGATTTGCAGCCCAACATGCAACACAATACACCACTACAGCATTATTTATTTTATAAAAGCATTTTGCCATGCATTTTCCCCAGTACTAAAAAAGTAATTACATAACCAGATGTGTGTGTGTGTGTGTGTGTGTGTGTGTGTGTTTTCTGTCAAGGTGGATCCAACCCGTAGCTGACCTTCTAATGGATTTTCAGAGGCAGTTAATGGCACAGGAGGAGACTGTCCATCCTTCTGTGGAGCAGCTGATGAATTCGAACCATGCACCTTAAAGATTTCAGTGCAGCTTCTTGCCACTAGGCCACAAGAGCTCTATAATCCTGCTGTTGTTGAGTTGCCTGCAACTCATGGTGACCCTGAGTACAGCAGCTCTGAACCCTGCTCTATCCTGAGCCAGCCTCATTGTCTCTGACACACCTACTCCCAGTACTCTAGTTACTGAGTCTGTCCCATCTGAGATCTTCCCCTCCTTCCAAGCATGATATCCCTCCCACAAGTGTGGGCCCCCCTTGCAACATGCCTAAGTATGTCAGACAAACCTTCAAAATTCTTGCCTTAAAAAAGTAGCCTGGTTTGATCCCAGCAAGGATGAATCACCAGTTTGTTCTCCTAGCATTCCAATATATAATCAATACTCTTCTCCAGCACCACAGCTCAAAGGCATCAACATCAAGAAAACAGATTCTTACCACTGGGCCAAAAGGCAGCATCATGATAGATGGTGAAGAGATTGAGATTATTAACAGCTTCAACTTGCTTGGTTCTGCAATCAGTACTCTTGGTACCAGTAGCTAGGAAATCAAAAGATGAATTGCATTGAGAAAATCAGCTGTTATAGACCTCTCCATAGTAGTGAAAAGCACTGATGTCAGTCTAGAGACTAAGGTGCACCTGATCCAGGCCGTGGTGTTTGCAATTACTTTTTGTGCCTCAGAGAACTGGACAATAACTAAGGATGATAGAAGAATTGATGCTATAATCACATAGTGTTCTGAAATTCATTATTCAGCAAACTTGAACAGTATCAGAGAAAGAAAATGTAAGTATGTTCTGCTAATACAGAGTGATAGCAAAGTACTAAAACTACACGCAGCTGAAGGGAGAAAATTTGTGGAACATCACAAAATAGTGCCCTCGGGTTTTGACTCTCCTGTAATCATAAAAGTAGATTTTATACTTGAAGAATATGGGAATAATGGATATGCATTGTAGAATGTATTATCGTTCATCAAATATTAGTCTTCTATACATTTGTGGACATCAGAAATAATACAAAGTTAATAGAGCAGTGCAGTGTGAAAAATACCAGTTTTAAAGCATTGAGATTGCCACTTAGTCTAATTAAACAGATTTCTGCCAATCCACCTACTGGGGGCATGCATAATGACAAGGAGTTCCAGTGAACTAACTGATAGGAAATTAGAAAGCCAAGCCAAAGGTGAGCAATGCTAATCCACCAGCTACTCACAGGAAAAGGATGGCCAGTCTCCCCCCATCCTATTTACAGCCTCTGAAAATGCATTGGAAGGTCAGTTGTGACTCGATTCTGACTTGATGGCAGTCGGGTTTCCTTTCTGAATTGATAACCTTGAGCATCTGTAATGTGCACTATATTATATTTACCTTGTTAAAGTAATTGGATTGGATCCTGAAACAAAGATAGGATTTGATTTGAACAGAACTTTAGGATATGATAAAGGTATAGCATAGGTTAGGACTTGGGGTTTTTTTGGGGGAGAGGGCTTAAGAAATCCTTTTGAGTGCAGCATGAAGCAAAAAGGATTTAGTTAAGTCCTAGAGTACTTTTAAAATAAAGTATATTTAGGAGATTCAGATTCATTCCTGGGTACAATAATAAGCTATTAATTAATTGTAATTAATAATATGATAAGAGCTATGCTTTTAGGGAGATAATGTTATTGTTAGGTGACATCAAGTCTCTTCTATCTCATTTTACCTTATTTACAGGTCAAAACATTGTCAGGTCCTTTGCAAAGTGAGTCTGTTGTTGCCTTCTATCAGTCTGTCTCATTTGAGTTTCATCTTCTTTCTCACTGACATTCTACTTTACCAAGTTTAAGATCTTTTTCGAGGGATTGCTTCATCTTGATTATATGCCCAAACTATGTGAGATGAAGTCTCACCATCCTTGCTTCCAAGAAACATTTCAGCTATCCTTTTTCTGAAACAAATATATTCATTCTTCTGGCAGTTTATAATGTCTTTATTCTCTAACAGTTGAATTGAAGGCATCCATTCTTTTTGTTCTTACTGTCCAGCTTTTTCACAGGAGTTTGTTCATAGCTACTCCCAACTATGCAACAGTTGAAACAAAACCTTACCTAGTCCTTTACCACCCTTATTTTTTTTAAATTTTATTATTTTTCTGTGTGTACCATTAAAACGGATCTGACTGGTATAGAAGTAAATTTTCCCTCCTTCTCCAGCAGAGCATCTGGTGGATTCGAATTATGCACCTCTGGGATTGCAGTGCAGCTTCTTGCCACTAGGCCACCAGAACGCCCTTAGTCCTGCATCATCCTTACAGTCTCTCCTGTGCCTAAACCCATTGTTGCAGTCACTGGTTGGTCCAACTCATTGAGGATCTTCCTATCTTTTACTGACCATCTATGTAATATGCTTCTCCAATGACTGACTCCTCATGACAGCATACCCACTATCTTTGCTTCTCCTGTGTGGGACATTTGATAATATCATGATTAGATGTCAGAGTCAGATGAACTTACATTCTTCATAGTTTGAGTCAGATAAACTTAACATTTTTAAAAAAAATTTTATTAATTTATATATAATGATTTATATATATCATGTTTTGTACATATACATTGCGTATTATACAATTATTGGTGTATATTACATTTTATATAATTCATTATCATTGCTGTATGTCTGTGTACTCTTTCTTTTAAAGCCCCCATTACACATTTCCCCTTACACCACCCCCTCTCCACTCTCTAAATATTTGCTATTCCTGTGATTTTTTTCCCTCTCCCCCTTTGGTTACCTTCTCCCCTTTATCTTTTGAATAGTTATACATATCTTTCTCAGTTATTTTCCTGGTTCCACAATAGTGGCCTTTTGCAGTATTCCTTGAAGTGACATTTTTTGTTTTAACTATTTAAAGAGGTCTTTCATGGTCAATTTTCCATGCAGATTTGATTTTTTTTTAAAGTATGTTGATTGTAGAGCAAAGTAAAATGAATAAAATCCATGACATGGATATGACCACAGTAAAAGAACCTGAGAGGCATGATACGATAGTTGTTGTTATGTGCCGTTGAGTCACTTGAGACTCATGATGACCCTCTGTACAACAGCCCTAAACCCTGCTCGGGTGACTACAGATGATTTAAACACTGTTTTTTCTAATCTTAGAATGTTATTTGAAGTCTTTGACAAAGTTCTTGTTCTTTTATTTGAGAAATTGAGAAATTAATGCTGTAAAATAAAAAAAAATGATGATTGCTACTTAATATCTTATTTGGTAAAGCTTTAGTATTGAGTTCTTTTAAATAACACAGTATTTTGTTTTTTATAACTTGATTAGTTTTTTCAAAAGATTATATTTATATACATCCTTGACACAGTTATTTTTGAGCATTCTGTAGATTGATTTTTTGTCATTTCAGGTTTATAGAGGAAAACTGGAAGGGAGGTTATAATCTCTAATATTTCCTTTTTGTTTAATTAATTTTTTCTTTGGCTTAGTTCTAAATGAGTTTTTTCAAATTTGTTTTTAAATACTTTTTTGCTTATGTATTTCTCAGGATTTTTTTTTAAAATAAAAGTCTGTAGTGTCTGTACTTGTTGATAGAATAGTCAGTGAAAATTATTAATGTACCTTTTTAAATTTGGGAATAAATTTTGAGAGATGACTTTTGCTTCTAAATAGCTAACTTTGCTAGTATATTTTCAGTGTTATGTCACTCAGAAGTATATATGTAGTGGTTTATTGAAAATATTAATGTGAACTATGACTCGATTGAACTAACGCTATTTATATTGTCTTTGAACAGTTGGAATGGATAATGGAAAAGAAATGATTGAAAGTGGGGCTGCATTTCTCTTCAAAACATTTTACTTGAAGAACTATGTTGGTCACAAGGAAACAAAGACAATCAAACAGATGTTTGGTCCTTTCCCATCATCGTCTGCTACTGCCGCTTGTAACGCCACTAGTCGAATTACTTCTTATTTTAGTGATGACAGCCTTACAGCTCTTCTCCAGATGACAGAAGAGGAAAATGGTAATAAAGATTTATTTGGTAAAAATATAACATTTTCATTTGATATGCATGATTTGGACCACTTTGAAGAACTGCCAGTAAATGGTGATTCCGAGAAAATAATAAGTCTCGATTACCAGAAATTTCTGAATGAACGTTTTCAGGAGCATGATACCCCAGAAGTCAAGCCTGTGGAAAAAACAAATGGCTCCTTTTTGTGGTGTGAAGTTGAGAAGTACTTAAATGCAACTTTAAAGGGAATGACTGAAGCACCAAGAACAGAAGATCTTTGCTGCACTTTATATGATATGCTTGCCTCTGTTAAAAGTGGCGATGAACTGCAGAATGAGGTATAGTTGAAAATATTGTTTTATTTTAATTAAATAGTTACTTAAGCATGGATTATTAGCAAAGAAAGTCCTCTTTTAGTATCTAAAAAGAATTTGTCCTAGTAGTAAATAATAGGGAACTCTGGTGGCATAGTGGTAAGGAGCTCACTGCTAAGCCAAAGACAGGCAGTTTGAATCCACCCTGGGAGAAGCATGGGCAGGCTCTTACTGTGTGATTTACAGTCTCTGAAAACCTGCAGAAGGGTCAGCTTTAAGTCAGTTCTGACCTGACAGCACTTAATGACAACAACAATTGTTGGTGCACCGGTAAGAAGTTGTGTTGCCAGCCCAAAATTATGCGTTTTGAATCCACCACCTGCTGTGCAGAAGAATGATGGACATTCTCCTCCTGTTTGATTTACAGTCTCTGAAAACACACTGACGGGTTAGCGAGTTCTAACTATAACATTACAACATTATAACAACAGTAGTATACATGAACAGATGTAATATGTTTCCTTTGTCTAAGAATTGATAACAGTGCAGTAAATTCCAAAGTTTTAGAAAATGTATTTTACTTGAGCATGTTTTTGTATACTGTAGAGTCAGAACTGACCCATAAGTGACCTTCCAGCAGGTTTTCAGAGACAGTTGATCTCATGGGAGGAGACTGCCCATCCTTCTCCCATGGAACAGCATAGTTTCTTACCACTAGGCCACCATGCTTTTAAATACAACTGAAAAAGTTTATTTGTTTGGAATAATAAGCACTCAAGAATAAATAGACTAACCAAACAACTGCATTATTAGGTATTTAAATAACTTATTAAAAATGACATTATAATTATTTTTTTACATAAGGTGTATTGTAACATGAAGTGTTTATCTTGAAGATTGAATTTTTATGTTCAATCACTCATTGATTGATTTGGAGTTGCTCCAACATGAAGTGACCCTCCACTGGTGTAAATCAAAGCAGGACACTGCTCAGCTTTATTCCAGGGTGTCACTGATGGATTTAAATCGCCGGAAGAGAGCAGCCTCTGGAACAGTGCAGCTCACTATGAGCTGTGCTACCAGAATTCCCTTTGCCTTCAATACTGACATAGATTCCTTTCTTGGTAAACATTTAACATTTTATCAACCAAATTATATTGCTGGGCATATCTGATGAAAGATTAGAGAAATGGCATAGTATGAAGGACAAAAATTTTTAAGCTAGAGAGTTGTTGCCCCTTAATGGTGTGACTTTAAATAAGTGAACTGCTATATTGGCTTTATTGATGGTCCTATCTCAAGGAGATAGTAAGCACTAGGCCAAAAAGGTGTGCCACACATGAATACCCATTATGTATAGCTCTCTTTTTTGTTAAATTATAGAAATTAAGAATTTTAAAATCACATGGAGTACCAGGAATAAAATATTAGCTTTTTATTCTTTTTAAAAAAAGTCATTGATATATAGTTAAATTTATATTAGAAGACTAAACTCATTGTAATGATAAATATTATATTGATTACTTTCAGAGAAGTGTCATATTGTTAATTTTTATTAGAATCAGTCACTTTAAAGTTGAATGTTTTATATTTACCTTTTTTTATATCAGACAGGGTATCTATCTTTAACTGCTGTTATCTAACATTATGAAAATAATATTAAAAATTGTGATTTTTTGAAGAAAAACTTATTCTTTGCTTATCTTAATTGAACATGTAACAATTTCCCTGCTTTTGTTATTGTAGACTTTAATTTAGAACTATCCTTTTTCATTTTAGAATATGTGGAGGAAAGTTTACATTTCATAGTTATTCACCACAGGTTTTTAAAAGGAATAACTAAATCTGATATTGAAAGGACACTACATACTAATTCTCAGGATTTTTCATAATTTATTTCATTTCATAGAAGTGAATGAATGTATTTATCCATTCATGATATATGGGCAGTCTCTTCCCCCGTGATTAATTGCTTCTGAAAATCCATCCGAGGGTCAGCTATGTGTTGATTCTTACTCTGTGGTATGTTGTCCAACAAGAGTGTGTCTTATACAGCGCTCTGGTGGACTAGTAGTAAGAAACTGCACTACAATCCCCAAAGCATGCAATTCAAATCCACTAGCTGCTCCAGGAGAATGATGAGTAATCTCCTCCTGTGTGATTTGCTGCCTCTGAAAACCCACTGGAGGGTCAGCTATGTGTTAGTTCCAACTTGATGGTACACAACAGCAACAGAACAACAGCATGCACTTGGTATTGGGTAGAAAAAAGGAAAGAGATAACAGCCTTGCTTACATGATACTGGTTTTTGGCCAGAATAACCATGCCAACAAGTAATTTTATTCAAATATCATAGGTAGTAGTCTGTATACAGTGAAATGGATAAAATAATTAGATTCTGAAGCCCTGGTACCTTGGTGTTATCAGGGGGTTGTGCTCCTAACTGAAAGCCTGCTTTGACAGGTGATTGCTTTCTCTGCTGGGCTGGCCCATTAGAATCTCTCTTCAGCTTCCCTTTAGATCCTCAACTTAGCCCAAATTTTAACCATTGTATCTAGCAGCTTTCAGCTCCCACTTGCCTAGAAGTAAGTGTCAGACTTTGGACCTTTCTGCTAGCAGGGTTGTCAGTTTTAGTTTATTTGCCTAGCTTTTACTGTCACTCTCAGCTATGGCAGTCTGCTTCTGTAAAGGTTTGCAGCCTTGGAAAACCTCGAGTGAAATCCACTTTGTGCAGTAGAGTCACTGTGACTCACTGCATAGCAGTGAGTTTTGCTTTTTATTACTTGTTACTGTTAATTGAAATGACTTCATGTTGTTACTGTGAGGTGCCATTCACAAGACAGTAACTCACAGTTACCCTGTGTGAATAACTGAACTTAACTTTAACCTATCTTGCATTCTCATTATCTCTGATATATTCTGAGCTCATTGATAAAATCAATGTGTCAAACTAATTTTTTTTGGAGGTTCTACTTCTTTTTCACTAGTCTTCCACCTTTCTGAGCATGATATCTTTTCCCAAGGATTGACATCTTCCAACAACATGCCCAAAGTATGTAAGGCAGAGTTTAAACATCCTTTGGTTTCACTTTCTCCAAGACATTGTTTTGGCAGTCCATGGATAGTAATCTTCTCCAACACCACAGCTTAATGACATCTGTTCTTCCTTTGTGTCATACTTATTATTCATTATCCAATTTTCAGGTGGATAGGAAGTAACTGAAAAGATCAAGGCACATTGTAGTCTTTAAACTGGCATTATTTCTCAGGCACTTCAGAAAGGTCCTTGATAGCACATTTTGCCTGTGTAATATGTCTTTTGATCTCTTGAACACTGGTAACCAAGGATATTGATTACGGATCTAAGTAGGATGAAATCATTGATCATTTCATTCTCCATCTTCAGTGTTGTTGCTTTTTGTTTTAATGGTGAAGATTTCTGTTTCTTGATTTTGAGATGTTATCATATTGAATATTGAGTCTTTGATCTACAGCAGATGTCCCAAGTCCTCGTCTCTCTTCAGCAAGCAAAGTTGTATCTGCATAACTAGGTTGTTGATGAGTCTTCCTCCAATCCTGATGCCACATTCTTTTTCATAGAGTCCAGCTTCTCAATTGGTTTTCTCAGCATACAGATTGAATAGGTATGGAGAAAGGTTTTATCTCTGATGCACATTTTTTTTTAAATGTAAACCATGAAGCCACAGTTTGTTATGAT